CTTTGCCAATCCTCGTCTTCACGTCTGTGTATGTTGAGGCCTATTGATGCAGAGACTGCAGCTACACTAACTGCCTTCATCCGCATTTGTTCGTGTGTATGAGATAGGAGGGGTAGATCATGATTGAAGTCCAAATCGTATAATTGATTCCAAACTGTCCGTGCTTCCCGTCAGCTGTCAAGGTTTACACAATCCAGTCAATCGCCAGAAGAAAGAGAAACGGAGAGAGTAGACAGCATTGTCTGACTCCGGTCCTTACTTGGAATGCATCTGTCAGCTGTCCTCTATGCACGACCTTTCACTTGACTCGATGTATAGTGACGAATTCCACTCAACTCATTGTTCCACGATGATCCGTAGTGTCTCAGTTTGGTCTGTGTACAACCGATCTTTAAGGAATCCAACCTGTTGATCCAGTTGCACAATGTTTCTTTAGCTTCAGTTTCATCTTGGCCACAACCAGGTGTTGATCTGAAGTTATGTCAACTCCTCTCCTGGTTCTCACATCTTACATTGTCCTTCGGAATTTTTCCTTGATACAAATATGATCTATCTGGTACTCTGTGGTGTGGTCCGGCGAGACCCATGTAGCTTTACGTATACATTTGTGTGGAAATATTGTGCCGCCTATAAAAAATTTGTTGAATGCACGTGGATTTGCAAATCTCTCATCTTTTTCTTTCTCGCTCCCAGTCCATGTCGTTTCATGATGTGGTGATGGTAGTGTAAGATCCATTTTGAAGGTTTCTTGTGTGAAAATCCCTCCATGCATACATTTGCAATTTGTTCTTAATAGTTTCCTTAGTTGTACTTCGGTGTTAACCTTTTTTACGCCATTTGAGATTGTAATGTTTCATTTCATATTAGTTTCAGCATTTTCTCTTTCGCCTTCAATGAGTTTCTATGTCTCTTTCTGAACTGTATCTATATTGTTTTAGTTGATATTTAATCTCGGAGGCAGCCATATTGACTGTTCCTTCTTTGATTATGTTGCTTGATTCGACTGGGATCGTTCCTTGATCTATCCAGAAAGGATAGAATAACACTTATTTTTTGGTGCGTTCGATCGATTATTGTGGTAACAATTATTGGTTGAATAACTGAGTGGTAATATTTGTTTAGAACCGTTGTTTTCCCAATCACCTTGTTCTGACTACGATTAGGGCGCACGAGTCTCTTTATTTCTCGATAGTTATTCTTAGCCCAAACGTAGTTTGGATTTTATATGCAGGTATGTGCTCTCTTTACGGGCATGATCGTTAGCTTATGTTGGTGGTTCACGGACGTGTTCGCATCACAACAAAAGTGTTATGAGGACCACATCAGCAAACACGAAAAATTTTACGAACGCAACTCATGCATATATACTATCTTGATATGGAATAGATTTATGCAGTAGGACTGATCGGCAGGATTATAATTGTTGTAAGCTAACAGTTAAGGTAGGCCTGGTGTAAGCTATGAAATCGGCAGATAAACATGTTAGGTATATGTTCCTAGTGTGATCATAAGCGTCAAAGCTGCCTGATTAGAACGAGATGTTTAAAACTAAGTGCTGGAAATAATTTTATTCTTCTTATCAATTGAAGGTCTCCTGAATGATGGTGTATTGAACGAAAACAAAGGTGGGAACAATCGAGTGTATTTGAACACAAAATTACAGAAAATCTTAGTAAAATCTGAGGACCATACAGTCAATAGTTGATTTGCAAAATGTCATTCAGTCGTCTCAAACTTTATTGCCCTTCATTTCCACACTAATCAATCTCTGTTTTTCTGCTCTTTTCTTCGACCTTGTTAAAACGGTTTGCCTGAACTACGACAGAGCCTCCAGAGGCCGTCAAGCAGCCTAAAGGTTTCCATCCAATCAGAACATGGTGGAGCTTTCTGAAATATTAACGAGCATGGTACTATTGGACAGTAGTATAAGATGTCTGTTTACGGATTGGTTGAATTGTAATGTTGGTATAACAAACGCCAATACCTATAAATACCCATGATTTTCTGCACATTTTGATTCTTACCCGACTAGCGCTTTTACAGTTTCCTTCTGTCTTCTGATTTACGACTGTGGAGTTCTACGTGTTCGAATGTCGTAGTTGTATATCGTATTCTGCTTTAACCACGCAGCGAACTCAACATTTCTTAACCTTCTGCGTCCAGGCACTTCACCTACGATTGATGACACATGCTATTTATATCTGCGAACATCAGTTGTACACACCAAAACGGCATCACGCATAATGAATAGTGCTGGCTAGCAAACGCAATCAGTAATTCAGCTTCGAATGACTAGGTTCTTATGAAGGACTGATTCTTGGATTAATAAGTGTTTTTTGCATTTTATTCAACTCATAAATTAAAACCATGGATAAGGCATGACGTAAGACGTTAAAAGAAACAAAATTTAATTTTCTGAACTTGGCATGGACACTTATAATTGACTAGTGATCTATTAATCACTTGCTGGTTCACATATAATTAGGGGGTTTAGATAGTTGATATCAGAATATATCTAATAGATTTATTATTACAATCGAGACAATGTCGAAATAAAAAAACCTCACAATCGAATAGGAATTTGTTGATTTCAACTGTAAATCAGACGAGCGAGGTAGCTTTGACATACGTGTTCGACTGTGATCAGTTTGTCAGTATTTCTTACAAAATCAAATATTTTTGTCAGTACCATCAGACCACGTAGTTGTCTAAGATATCAAGATGAAACGCTCACCATCATAAAAAAAACTCTCCTAAGAAACTTTAATGTATAAATGAATAAATACTTTATCAGCTTATGTCTAATTCATTTTCGGAGTCAAAAATGAAGAGGAGGGAGTCGTAAACATAACGTTAATATTGGCATTAAGCGCATTCATCTTTGCCACGAGAAAAATGAACCTAATCTCAAGACTGTAGATTTGCCTATGAGGTCTTACGTGGGAGTCACATCACTGTCTATATTGACGGGTCTCAACATAATAGTCAGTAATTTGCTGTTGAGTACTCCTGAAGAGCACATTTGGGTTGGGATAGAATAATATGTTCAAGACGCAAAGGAGTGGGCTGCATATAGTGACCATGCCTGAGTGGCCGAACCAGTTCATACGAATACACGATTTCCTCTCGATGAGCTAGTATAAACTCACTGATTTCTTTACACTCGTTTCTTGTCATGCTAGTAAGTTTCCAGGTACTTGGTAACGTCCAGTGGCAAGTGGACACTGTCACATATCTTGTTCATGAGTGTCGACTTAGATTATCTACTGAGTGCACATATTGTCTTGGCCCTAAATTTTTTCTACATTAATCTGTAAGATCGTTTCAACAGAATAAAAGAACCGAAACCTCCGAAAAAGATATAACCAGAGTTTTGCATACTAATTTTTTGGCAAATAATAAATACATATTAAAAATGAAATGGTTTCTAGCCAATTGAAGATACGACTAGTATTCTGATTTTACAACCTGCTACCAGTAGCACCTTCTATATACGAAGCTTTTCCCCGACCAATGGAAATCAGAAGTCAGACGAGAAGAGGCAGGAAAGAGATATTTGATTCGTTACCAATATATCGAGGAACCTTTACTATAAGCTGGCTAATGAACGTAGGAGCTGTGTCCCACGTCGTGTTGCAACGTGATGTGGTACGGATGCATGACCGAAAGCCTTCAGTTAAACAAGTCCACTTAAACAACGTGGTCAGCATCCAATGTCGAACACTCAATGAGCTATTGATTTTGGATATTTATTTACAGCTACAGAATTATAATGAAGTGGATGAGGCATCATGCAAGAGTACTGTATTTCTACTAAATCGTTATGTCATTAAGGAAGAACTACAACAAATCCTTAAATTCCACAAAAGAGAACGTTATTTACAAAGCTATCTTTGAAACCTTTCAGTTTTTACTTGGCAAACCTGATAACTCAACAACTTGGGTAGAACGAAGCTCAAGGCACTTGTACCGATCTATAACGTAGACAGAAGTATGAACCATGAACCATAAAAACGGAGCTCTAGGTCCCCAAAAACGCGCAAATATTTCACCATTTAGAAAGAAACAATAAGAAATGTAATACCTACACAAAATAACAAAGTGACTGAGTATATCATCTGTAGTGTTTTGATCCTATAAGGACATCGACTTGCTCCTAACTAACTAACTGCGATGAGCTGAAGTATTTACTTTGATATACGGACTAAGAATCCCAGAAATAACGCACTTTAGACCAAACAACTAGGTGAACACCAACGAACGTATTGTATTTAGAATTCATGTAATCAGGCAGACATAAGTATAAAGGAATCATTAGTTCATATAAACACCACACTCACTTGGACCTCTATGGACATAAAGCAATGGTTCGATATTCAGTCTCCGAAAATGTCAAATGGCGATATTTCAAGGTAAGGGGGAGCATTATGTAGACTACTTCCTTCGTGGTCACCATCTCTTAGTAATCTAGATGCTTTGCGACGGAAGACAGTTTTCGATGAAAAGCCAAGATACTAACGACAACTATTAGCAAAATGCATCCAAAGTCCACATTATCTTTCACCTTATCTGAAAGTAACTGGATATATTGACTTCATATGGCTGAACAGGAGATAGGATGCGTGTTGCGCATCAATCCTCAATAGGCACCATGTGTGCATACTGATACACAGTATCGATCTGCCTATTTTTGTGTGTGAATGCTGCATGTTAAAGAATGAATTAAACTGGGGATTTCTCCTCAGGCTCTAACTTTCACTTTATTCTATGGAGCACTGAGTGACTAAATGAATGGGGGAATTCTCGAAAATGTTAGATATTGTGCACTTATTGGAAAAAAAAGATGATTATTACCAGATCTACACAAGATCCTTGTTTCGTACATCATATCCATTCGTGAAAACCTTCAACCCTGATAAGTATTACTAAATCCTGACAATCCAGCTTAGATCTAGTTAAGATCGCTCAAGGTCAATATAGCAATCCATCAAGGTTATCCAATGGGCATCATAATGTTAGTCATGACGTATGTTAGTTTGTGTTGTTATCTGTAGACCTAGCATTGTGTTCTGATAGTATTTCTGTTGTCATATAGAATGTACTTAAAACGTCTTTTGTAAGTAGTGATATGTCTCATTTACATTTTACAATTTTGCCAATTCCAATCTTCAGATATCTATAGATAAATAATTTTTTCTCATTCAGATTTGTGTAGTAGGGATAGAAGGCCATAGAAGGTCCATGCGGGACCGCGGGTACTAGCACTTTCCTTATGTTGTACCTATCAACCTTTGTATCCCCATAGTGCATGTAGACACTTCGCTGCGTTGATAAGCATCAGCCACTCTTTAGACCAGTTAATCACATTATTTAAGTCTGCCTAAAGAGCGTATGTGTCTGTCTCCAGTTATTACTCGCCAGATTTCTACATCGTCAGCGTATAATAACATTCGGGACTGTACTATACTTGGAGATCATTTGCATGCAGTATAATAAGTAGAAGACCTAGGACGAAACTTTGAGGTACTCCACTAAGTACTGATCTCCAGGTCAGTCAGTCAGTCAGTCACAACGTAGAACTTCGTACGTACGTACATCAGTTCGAGTTGCCATACCACATTAGCACACAGATGCAGTTGTCGATTCAAATCCCATAGTGGAAGAAGTAGTAAGAGTATAATCAGAAATCCAAAAGATTAGGGTTTGAAGAAATTATTGAAGGAGTATAGTACAGTGAAATATATTTGGAAAGAGAAAAACATAAAGACATGAGAAATTCAGAAGATTAGAATTTGGTATAACACAAAGAGTGGATGCATCTTCGCCATTGCAAACGATTTTGAGCCATGTCATTCAAGGTCTCTAACCATCGGTTGCTATCATCTCGCGAATCCCAACCAGGTAGTCTACACTTACCAACATGGCCCAGTCCACTTGTCAATGACTTCATTGATTTGTGCCACGTTTTGGTCTGGCCACCCCTAGCTTTCTTCCAACCTACTCCTACACCATGAAACATTGCACGTCGGGGCAGTCGGTGGTCGGGCATACGTAACACATGTCCCAGCCATCTCAACTGATGAAGTTTCACTACTTCATCAATCGATTTGCCATCCCTACCTAGTACTCGTTTCCTAACAACTGCATTACTTACTCGGTGGTCCCAGCATATACGAGCAATGCTTCGAAGACACCTATGATCGAACACTAGTAGCCTACGAATATCCTCTACTCTTACCGGCCATGTTTCACTGCCGTAAAGTAGGACGGAACGGACTGCTGCACAGTAAACCCGTCCTTTTGTCGCTAAACGGATATCTCGCCTACGCCACAAATGATGCAAGTTGGCGAAAGCTAGACGAGCCTTCTGTATCCGTGCTGAGATTTCGTCAAACACCAGACCACAAGGGCTGATGAGACTCCCAAGATAAGTGAAGCGGTCAACACGCTCAACTACTTCACTCCCTATCATTAGTTCAGGTGTCGCTGCAACCCAATCCTGAAGTAACATTTTGCACTTCGAGGGAGAGAATCGCATCCCGAACATGCCTGCATAGTTGCTTATGGTGGTCAGAAGACTCTGCATGTTGTCAGCGTCTTCACCGAGTAAAACTATGTCGTCGGCGTATTCTAAGTCAACAAGTGAGCCTCCTGGTAAAAGTTCAACTCCTGGAGGCTTAGCTGATGAAAGTGCTGTCTCTAAAAGTATGTCAATGACAAAGTTAAACAAGAATGGGGAGAGTGGACAGCCCTGACGAACGCCACTTGTGGTAATCAGTTCTGATGACAGTTCGCCATAGGCTCTAACTCGACCAGTTGTGTTCGAGTAGAGAGCCTTTATGAGGTTAACGTACTTCTTTGGTACTCCTTTCAGTGACAAACATTGCCATAGAACCTCACGATCAACAGAGTCAAATGCCGCCTTAAGGTCAAGAAATACTACTATTGTGGGACGTCTGAATTTGTGTCTATGTTCTAGAACCTGACGTAGGGTGAATATCTGGTCTATGCAACCACGTCCAGGTCGAAAACCAGCCTGGTTTTCTCTAGTCTGCTCTTCACGAGCTTTGGTTAGGCGACCTAGTATTATTGAAGCTAATATTTTAGACACTATATTAGTCAAACTGATCCCTCTGTGATTGTCACAGGAGGACTTTTGTCCTTTCTTATAGACTGGCACAATCAGTGATTGGGACCAGTCAGATGGAATTACGTCCAGTTCCCAGATTCTACCTAAGACCTCAGTCAATCTCACTGCTAGTACTGGACCACCATCCTTAAAAATCTCAGGGGTCAACCTGTCAGGGCCTGCTGCTCTCCCTCGCTTCAGATTTCCTATAGCTTTTTCAACCTCACAGAGGGTTGGAGGACTTACGTCAATTTGCCATTCAGGACGACTGGGGATCGTGGGTAATTGAAGGGTGGCTGAAGGCCAGTTGAACTGATCCCTAAAGTGTTCTGCCCATCGATCCAATCTCCTGGATTGAGAATGAATAATATGCCCATCTTTATCTGAGATGGTTTCACTGATATTCGGGTTCCTAATGCCCGTTTCTTTAACGAGTCTGAATAGCTGCCTACTGTTACCTATTGCCGCTGCCTTTTCCATCTCTCTTGCTTTCCCTACCCACCACTGTTCACGATCATTACGTAGGCTTCTTATAAGCCTGCGCTTAAGTTGACTCCGCTCTTCGTTATGCTCAGAGCCAGGTGGGATGAGTTTACGAGCATCTATCAGTGCGGTAGATGCTGCCGAGATCCATTGTTTCTCCCTAACGTTATGGTTTACCTTACTAGCGGACATCACTGCTGTTTCCACAGCTTTTCGGATGTCATTCCACGCTGCCTCGGGGTGGACACAACTTACATGTCTGCCTAACTGTTTTTCTAGTTGTTCCTGATATATATTCTTAGCTTGCCTATCATTAAGTAGAACCCTTAGAGGCTTCCCTGCAGTGTCTTTCCTACGACCAGTTAGACGCAGACAGATACGTGCTCGCACTAGAGCATGATCTGAATCTAAACATGTGCCCCATAATGAGCGACAGTCTTCAATCGAGCCCCTCCATCGGTGGCTGATAGCGATGTGATCTAATTGGGTCCAACGTTGGGACGAATTCGGGGGTCGCCATGTCAAAAGATGTTTTTCCTTATGCTTAAAGTTAGTATTTGCAAGAAATAGGCGGTTATCTGAGCACAGCTGCAACAGACGGTCGCCATTATCTGTTCTTTTCGCCATGACACCATAAGATCCACCCAGGTGTCTTTCCCTTTCACTTAGTTTACCTACTTGAGCATTAAAGTCACCTGCTACTACTACTACATCATAACGCCTAGCTTCTCGGAGAAGGTCAGAAAGTTTTCTGTAAAACTCATCTTTTATATCGTCTGAGCTGCAGTCAGTGGGAGAGTAGGCAGAGACGACGAAGAGGCAACGACGAGTTTTCCTATCTTTCCGGGTCCTTACTGATCCGTTTAGTCGGACAGCGCATAGACGACTGTCTACTGGGATCCAGTCTAAAAGAGCTAGTTCTGCCCTAGGACGTAATGCTATACCTACTCCAGCGAGGCCACGGGAAGCAGCGTCAGGGCTTCCAGATACACGAAGCGTGTATCGAGATGAAACTTTATTTTGATTAGGTGAGGTCAAATGAATGACACTACTCGGATCTTGTATGCGCGTTTCGGAGACGCAGCACACATCGATGGTGTAAGATTCTAGAGTCCTAGCTAAGGAAGCCTGTTGTCCTATTTGGCACAATGTTCGGACATTAAAAGTTCCTATATGTAGTTTAGAGCGTGGTTTCAGGAGACCAGAAATAACGTTCTGTGTACTCGAATCGTTTGCCCTAGCGGTGCGAGGTGATAAAAGGACGTGGGAAGGGTTAGTCGTGGAGATAACAGAGTTATTAGGAGGTGTAGGAAGGATTTGAAAGCGAACAACTTGGTCTTGTGTGCAGTTAAGGGTATGAGGGCTAGTATCACTTCCCGGCTGCCCACACCGTGGAAGGGTATTTCTTGAGGGACCTGAAAAAGAAGTTGGATTAGTGTTGGTCTTAACGACCTGGGTGCGTGACCGCAGTGCCCAAGGGACATCTGCTTGAGGCCGGTCACGCACGGCCTTTTTGTGGGGGATTTTTGACGTGTTAGCTCCGTTCTTCAAAAGTCCTTACCGCCGGAGACGGAAATCCGTGGGATAAGGCGAGGTGTGCATTTTTAGGGTCGACCTTTTCTAACCCCACCCCTCCTTGTGGGAAGGCAGCATCGCTGTCATGCTGGTTGTCTGAAGGAAACACCTTACTGCTTTCACACCTCTGTACAGTCAGCAGTACGACTTCGCCTTCGGACCAGGTGGAGCACTTCGGATTTATTCGTACTATCTGTCTTCGACCTACCAGAAAATCCTTAAGCCATTTTAAAAGAGGTCCGGCAGTACCAAGATTTTCTAACTTCGGTAGCAGTCTATTTGTTGGCACCTTGTCAAAAGCCTTACTGGAGTCTATGTAGACAACATCCGCTGATTTTCCGTTGTCTAGCGCCTTTATCCAAAATTCCCTTGCTATAAGGAGCTTTGTTGTACAAGATAAACTCTTCCTAAAACCATGTTGTTCGCTGTTTAATAGGTTATTGGTTTCCATAAAAGTCATTATGGTCTGTTTGACTATTCTTTCCAATATTTTAAGTAGATTCTGTGGAAATTTCCGGGTTTTTCCTATAGTCATATGAAAATTCATATTTTAATCTAAAGTCCAGCAAGATATTGGGAAAAACCCAGAATTTTCTCAAAAGTATTGGGAATTTAGCTAAAATAACTTGAAACTTTGAGGGAAACCCCCAGACCAAGGGAGGTTTGGTCATATTCACTAAAATCTTTTGTTGCAGCTTCCCCATAACTGATAAAATTCCCCCTAAAATTAAAAGGTTGGGGATCTACTCATAAATCTTGATCAAGCTTAGTTGCATTATAATTTTACTTTCAACTCATCCATGTATACACAAAGCACACTAGAAGTGTTTACAAGTCATGCTTAAGTATTTACAAGTCTATTAAGTGTTGATTACTACTTATGTATCGTGTTTATCATTATTTTATTTGAACACATAAATATTGGTACAAGGGGGCAACAAATATATATGCGCCACACAAAAATATGGTCATTTAGTTTAGTAGAAATCGTCATTTCATTTATTTGTGTGTGGACTGTGATACTGTCTGGGTGCCCAGACAGAAGTAAGTGGTTTTTTAGGGGACCACACCCGGAGCCTTTGACCTTAAGATCTGATCCACAAGGCAGTGGAGCTTCGTCAGGAGATGCAGTCCCTTGGTAGCTGGTAACCAACGATTGATTCATACGCCATTTGTTCCTTCAGGATGCTGTAGCCCATGTGCATCATTGGTTTGGAATCAGGGTTTTCCAACTCCCCTAGGTGGATCCTACACATCCACCAACCCGGTTAAAGTGCTGGACATTCGCTTTTCGTCCTCTCGTTTATGTGAACAACACCCCCGCCACGAGAAGGCAGTAAGTAGAACTTCCCTGGCGGAGGATATATACGCGTGGCCATGTGAGAGCATTTTGAGAGGGAGAACGGACTCTCCCCACTCTCGGCCGTACCAGGGCATTCAAATCATAAGCCAATCATATACGGATTTTAACATTGGTTACAGGGACTTTACGGTATAGCTATTATTTGAACACCCCCTACACGTCACTTCTATACGATTAAGTTGTCTTACGACTTTCATCCTCTCCAAAAGAATATCATTTACTAGAAGGTATCTGATAAAATACGTTTTCAGGGTGGAACCGGTACTTTATCACGAGTCGTGCATAGCGTTTCATGCCGCCTTGTTTTATTCTCTTTAGTGCTTCGTCTAGCAAGCCCCCAAATGCCCCGGTACGGCCGAGAGTGGGGAGAGTCCGTTCTCCCTCTCGAAACGCTCTCACTTGGCCACGCGTATATAACCTCTGCCAGGGAAGTCCTACTCACTGCCTTCTCGTGCCACGGGTATTGTTCACGAAATTGAGAGGACGAAAAGCGAATGTCCAGCACTTTAACCGGGTTGGTGGATGTGGAGGATCCACCTAGGGGAGTTGGAAAACCCTTATTCCAAACCAATGATGCACATGGGTTCCAGTATCCTGAGGGAACAAATGGCGTATGAATCAATCGTTGGTTACCGGCTACCATGAGACTGCATCTCCTAACGATGCTCCACTGCCTTGTGGGTCAGACCTCTGGGTCGTAGGCTCCGGGCGTGGCCCCCTAAGAAAACCACCTGCTTCTGTCTGGGCACCCAGACAGTATCACAGTCCACACAGAAATAAATGAAATGACGATTTCTACTGACAATACTATTCACGCTCCTACTAAAAGTCAGACAATTTACATTATTATTATTATTTACCACGTCGCTTATTCACTCCCTTTTATTCCCAATTTGTGTATCCTTACTTTTCAACTTATGCAGTAGCTCGCCCATGGTGAAAACTCTGTTCTATCCAAACGATCTCCAGTCACCGTCTGGTCGGAAGTGAATGCTTCCACCGAATACGAATACTGAACCAGTCTTTTTGAAACCACGTACACCATTCAAACTGGCTTCCTTCAACGTTCGCTTACTAATGCAGATCGGGCTGGCTTTGTCTTTAGGAAGTTTTAATATTGACGTTTTTTGACTATCCAAGACTCATATTCAAGACTGTAGTGAAGTACTACAAATTCGCTCTCCATCTGTCGCTTCGAAAAGCTTGTTTCACGTGCGTTTATTCGGGACCCTTTGGCATCTTCGTCTCGTCTTGCTGGCGTTGGTGTTGTACTAAGCGCTAGAGCTGAGGCAGCACTAATCGATTGGATCCCCATTTACAGTCGGATATGTGCTGTTAGATTAGAAAGCTACATCAAAGTGAGAAGAAATCGGCGTGAGAAACGATGTCTTTTTGTCTTCTCCGCCTATGTCCTGACAGATTGCTGCCCGAATGCAATCAAGGATGAGTTTTACCACCAATTAACAGTTCTTTTCCAGAAAGTGCGTTTGGCAGATATTTTAGTACTAGCCGGAGACTTGAATACACAAGTCGGGCGTCTAGGCTTAGAAGAGAGTCGCTTAGGTGGCCGGTAGAAACTTGTTGGTCTCAGGACAGATAACAGGGACCGTCTACTGCAACTATGTACAAACTACAACTTGTTTCTGGCTAGCACTAACTTCCGGCATAGTCATCGCCGGTGTGCCACCTGGCGTCCTCCCTCTGCATCCCAAGCCTGGACTCAGATTGATCACATCGCGATCAGCTACCGCTGGCGTGGTTGTGTACAAGACTGCCGCTCCTTTTGGAGTACCTATCTGGAGTCTGATCATGCCCTGGTCTGCGCCAATCTTACCTTACTTCTCAGTGGCTGGAGAATTGACCGCCACCAACGGATTGATGTCAGTGAATTGGTTGCAGATTCTGTTGCAACTAAACATCAAATCGTGTTAGGTTCAAGGCTAGTTGCCATTCCACTGGAAAGTATAGATGAGCATTGGTTGCAACTGTATGACGCCATGAAAATGGCAAGTAAAGTCGCTTACGGCTTCGCGAAACGTCCCGCTTATAAGAACTGGGTTTCTTCTGGCTCCTTACAACTCATTGAAGCCCGTCGGTTTACTCCGGGTGACCGTGAGTTTGACCACAAACTAAGGCTGTTACGCAACAAGATTAGGCAAAGCTTGCCTAAGGACCAAGAAGCCTGGTGGTCGGAGCGTGCTAACGAGATGGAAGCAGCAACTGCATCTGGTAACTGCCGGAAGCTCTTCCAACTCGTCCGAGCCACTGGCAGCAAGAAGTCTGGTGTGAGTGAAACAATCTGTGTGGATGACGGAATGCTAATCACTAACATCTGTCGACGTCTTGGACGATGAGCGGAATTCTTCAAAGAGCAGTTCAACTGGCCTGCTGCTCCAGGAACATCGATCAGATTGTCCTGCCCTCCATGACCGGTGATAACTAATCCACCAAATGAGGTGGAAGTCCGCAAGAAACTCCAACTCTTGAAACGCTACAAATCACCGGGCCCAGAAAATTGTCCTCTGGCTCCTTTTAAAGATGATGGTGACTTTCTGGCTAAGGAATTAACTGAGTTGTTTACAAAGGTCTGGGAGCTAGAGCGTTCCAACATCATGGAATGATTCGATAGTCGTCCCTATCTTTAAAAAGGGTTCACGTCGTTCCTGTGACAACTATCGGGGGATAAGTCTACTTCCGATTGCGTCCAAAATATTGGCTTCTGTCATGCTTCGTAGGTTGTTTAAAACTTAAGAAAGGTTGACTCGCGAGGAGCAGGCTGGTTTTCGTTCTGGTCGAGGATGTTTGACGACTCTCTGTGTTCGATCATCGTTGTCTCCGAAGGATTGCTGACATCCAGTGGCAACACCATGTTAGTAATGCAGAGGTTCGGCATCGTGTGTTCGGGCACAGAGACGATAATCCAATTGATGTCACTATCTTGAAACACCGACATCGTTGGTTTGGACATGTTTTACGAATGTCGTCCCAGAGGATTCCACGTCGTGCATTATTCGCCGACTCTGGGACCGGTTGGAAAAAGTGGAGAGGTGGTCAGTGTATGACATGGTGTCGTGGTATGAAAGAAAACTGCAAAGGGATAGCTTCTGTTGGTCCTTTTTGACTCCCTGGCTGGGGTCCAAGAGATGGTGCAATACAATGGCTAGAGACGTTATCAGATATGTATCATAATAGAAGCCAGTGGAGCTCTTGCTGTAACCTTCTTTTACTTTCTTCATAAAGAGTGGTCATAACTTCCTCAACTGAAAGAGATCTGGTTGTACTTGTCAGTTTCCCCCATATATATATATATATATATATATATATATATATATATATATATATCTTACCCCTTTTTTTCATTCTCATTTTGTGTCGCATATATATCTGGTGCCCCCTTTTACCAATATTTATGTGCTTCAATAAAAAAAAATAAAGCGAGCACTTTCTGGCAGCTGATGTATATCAATATGAGTTACTTTCATTTCATAGGCTGATATCTCTGTGTTTTCACCCGGTTCCGGTGTCAGCAAACTAGGTTTGTTATGAAAACCTTCAAGTGATATGCCTTAACTGCTTTGTGTCCTTAACTGATTCTCTCGATTGTAAAACTTAAGGTAAATTTGTATTTTGTCAAGTTACACTACTGGTAGAGAAGAAAAATCAACTAGCAGTCATAACGATCAATAGAAGTACAATAACACACATAGTACAATAGAATGTTCGATGGATATAAGCCACTCTAAGGGATTCCAAGCTATGAACTCATCCACTAGTGTTAGATTCGGTGTATGACACAAGCTGGGTTTTTTTACCAAATCAGGTACAGAAAAAAGCCGCAAGCAACATCTTTATGGTCTAACTAAGTATATAAAGAACTGTTCAAATTTCTGACAGTCCTGATGTGTTGTAATTACTTGATAGTTTATTCATACCCAGCTATAAATTGGAAATTGTGCTTTTCCGTTTTTCAAGTCAGTTATGTTTTTAGAATGAATGGTTATTTTTGCTGGCAAAATGTACATTTTAGTTATTCAATCAATTTCATGTCCTTAATCCAACTTGTTTATTCTTATGAATCTTCATCCTTCCAGGATTCGTTTTATGAATGCAAAAACAAAACCTTATTGTCTCAGTATTGTTCAGTATGTCAGTTAATTCTGTCGTTATGATCTTAGAAAGTATGATTACGAAAACTATCTGTGTTCACTGTTGCTACCTGGTTCAAGACGTAACTTTGCTTTGGCCTTAAGAGCTTTCAACGTAGAACTAGCTCAAGTATTGATCTCTCCTGTATCAACTTGTTTTTTTTGCACTCAAGATATGTGACCGATCAGAAAATCTGGCTCAAGCTAAATACCGGTTTCAGTTTTGGAGGGAGATTATCGAATATCTATTTGATAGCTCCAATAATTCGTCACCACACCACACTCCTCTTGGACGAGAGCTCAAAGAAGTACCATCCTAATCACTTTTCCTTTATCTATAACTAGTCAGTTTCAGGTCTAGTATTATCAAAACAACGATTCTATCAGCTAGTCAATTCAAGGGTTTGCATTCATTTCCACTAGCGTTTTGAGTTTCATAAATTACTTAAATAGGAGCGACACTTTAATAATGTTTTTTTTCCTACTTGCAAAGCAGCTGAAGCGTATTTTGATGATGCCTATGTTCCGATTCATTCTCTAATATCTGAGGCTTATGGTAAGTGATTGATTCACATATGATGTTTTTACCACTGGTTCTAAATTCGACTGAACCTTTGGATCTTGCTTAAAGAACAGTGTTCTTGCAAACAGGTTCAATTTACGCAGTCCCAAGCTCCCCTATATACGTATTTCTTATTAATTTTTTATATACAAGTTTGAATCATACTGCTTCTATAAAATTCCTAGATTTTTCTAGTATTAAAGTTATCTCTTCATACAATATTTTAATTATTCATGTATGAACTTTCTAGATTTCTACACCTGCCCTGATTTTCACGATTAACTGTTCCGTGTGCTTAGTTATAAGCCAACTACTACTATCAAGCCTAAACTGATATAGATGTAGTTGAATCAGATTCTGCTACCTAGTAATTTAACGTTGCTTATTTTAACCTTCAAGGCATGGCTTCAAGATAGGAAAGCTATCATCAGTCGTTGGAATGTAATATCACTAAAAGATAAAACTATAGCCCTCAGTGAGAATAACAGGTTCCTGAAAGTAAAAATTACTATATAAAACTTCAGTATTAGTTGGCAGCACATTTTTTACCAGATTGAATTCATTTTATGAGGGATTCGTAAAATTAGTGTTAAATTCGATTTGCAATATCAATGTAATTGGTTTTTGTCATTCTATGTTATAATCTTAAAATTTTACGACGAAAATATTAGGAATAGAACCGTAGAAACTGCGTTTTTCGTTCATATATTTTTTCCAAATGACAGCCCAAACCTTTTGGTCATAGTAGCTGATATTATTATTAGGTTTAAAATCAACTACATAATTTTCAAAAATTTTGCTATGTAGCTTTGCTGAAAACTTATGGAACCTTGCATGTATTGTTTCTTTGTTTACACTTACCAGTTGGTCAATGGCTACATTACAGCTTGATCATTAGGATTCAACCACCACTAAGGACTAGGTAAGGATAATATTATTTTTATACTCAGCCATCAGTCACTGTACATTTCTAAAGGATATCAGTCTCATGTTGAGTAGCACAGTAGTAATGTTTCTCACTTTAACACGAGTGCGAATCCTATGAGGGATGTGTCAATTCCCCCAGGACTGTGGATGCTCCATGATGACGGTTACCAACTAGCAAGAAACCTAGATCAAATGCTTTCTTCCTATTGATTACAGCCAAATATCCTCCTTACCTTTTCCGTAACAGTTTATATAATTCATGGAATACAATTATCGTCATAAGGTGACTGTTTTTCAATATTTATTATTACGATTATGCACATTTTATAATTTCTTTGACTAAGTACATCAATTTTACCTTCTAACAAGTAGGATTTGAAATGACTTCATTAAACCCATTGCTTAATCACTTTGGACGAGCTCAGGGAATGGCGAATATGTTACGTAGTTCAGTTTTATTAGCTCAACATAAAAATGTTCTACTATTTCCTTTGGATGTAATAAATCAAGTATGTTCATCAACAAGGTGAATATTTATATTCTTAATTTTAAATGTAATTACTAAACTGTTTATGGGCGTGGGTGTATAGCACATTTTGGGGAATAAGAAACTGGGTAATACATGCTAAAATTTGTTACGCATCATTTAAACTCCAGCAGTTAATTGTCTGGTTCTCGTCGTAGTTGTTAATCTAATACAGTAGTTAGAAGGCCAAACCAAGCTATATTGATTGAAACACTTGTTTCCTGGATTTTCATTATCACAGACATTTATTTATTATTTATTTAAACACATAAATATTGGTACAAGGAAGCACCAGATAAATATGCGCCACACAAATCGAATGAGATTTGTGTGAGGGCTGTGATACTGCCCAGGTGCCCAGACTGAAGCAGGTGGTTTTCTTAGGGGGCCACACCCGGAGCCTTTGACCTAAAGGTCTAGTCCACAAGGCAGTGGAGCATCGTAAGGAGATGCATTCCCATGGTAGCCGGTGACCAACAGTTGGTTCATACGCCATTCGTTCCTTCAGGATGCTGGAACCCATGTGCACCATTGGTTTGGAATAAGGGTTTTCCAACTCCCCTAGGTGGATCCTCCACATCCACCAACCCGGTTAAAGTGCTGGACATTCGCTTTTCGTCCTCTCGTTTATGTGAACAACACCCCCGCCACGAGAAGGCAGAGTAGGACTTCCCTGGCAGAGGCTATATAGTCGCGTGGCCATGTGGGAGTATTTGGAGAGGGAGAGCGGACTCTCCCCACTCTCAGCCGTACCAGGGCCAATCATCAGTTTATATACGCACATTTGAGTCATGGTGTTTACGTATGGACTAGTGATACTACCTGGCTGGTCAAATCAATGTAGGTGGGGTGGGATTCGAACTTGTGACTTAATAAATAAAACCAAAATGCTTGAACCATTCGACTATTTTCCTGCTTCATGTTGGGTTCGTTTGAAGTGGACAAGCATACAATGTTTAAAATGCATCGTCAGTTGGACTTTGTAAGTTTCGATATACATAATCTTATACGAAAACCATAATAAAAGACCTACTGAAGAATGTATTCATCAGACAATGTGGTTTCCTTAGAATTTATCTTGAAAGACTTCACTTCAAAGTTTCTGGAGTTAACACAACTGGTTTTAAAAGTATTTAGTTTGTGTAATATCAACCTATCGCAAACTTTGGTCAAACTGATACATCGGTCTTTTCTTGTTATTTATCCTACTCTAATGAGTAGTTAAGGTTCTGTTCATCTGGTTAGTGACTTTCTTGCAAATTTACTTTTATGCCGCTCCTTACGTTGTCATTCTTATTTATCGCTGTTATGACAAACCCATCGTCGGCTTAAGTTATAACAATATTCTTCCTACCTCAAGGTTCTTCTAGATCATCCTGTTCTTGTTAAGCTTTTTGTCCAGTGAAGAGTTCATGTTCTAAAGTGTCTTTTATATTGTGACCCAGTGATCTTTAAAGAAAGTATATTTCCCACGTTTGTTTTAAGATTATTTGAAGAAAGCCAACTGCATAGTCACTTATTCTTTTTACTTCCAACACCTCTGAAATGTTGATGGATTTTTATACGTGCTTCATGTTCTTTGTCTGTTCCTCTGATCAATATTATTAAGATTGCCAAATCTTATAATGTACATTTTCTTTCTAAATTTCTCCGTTGATTATCCACAACAGATCAATATTTCTTCTAAGTCTGTTAACTATTTAACGATTCATGATTACGTTTAAGAAAGTTATTAGCATTTAAGGTACTTCAGTTCTAAATCATAATTGAAGGTTATAGATAAGCCTAATATTTCCTAAAAGTGTTATTACTGAGTTAAACTTCAAGTCGATAAATGAGACGCGATTTTCTTAAGACAAATAAGTTATTTCAATTATGTGCATAGGCTCTCTATTTAATTATATTACTCATTGTGTTATCCTTTTCTGACTTAAAACAAGCATTTGACTCTGTAGACCGAGAGTGTTTGTGGCATTGTCTGTCATTGAAAGGTGTACCTCAGAAGTACATAGACCTTGTGAAGGCTCTTTACTCAAACACTGTCAGTCGAGTGAGAGCTTATGGCAAACTGTCATTTGATTTTACAACTTCAACTTGTGTCCGATAACGCTGTCCACTATTTCTATTTCTGTTTAATTTCATCATAGACCTACTGCTGGAAATAACTTTCTTGTTGATTAGATTTTCAGGAATTGATCTTCTAGGAGGTCCATACATTGATTTAGAATACGCAGATAACATATTCCTATTTGGTGAAGACGCTCATAAAATGCAGTCTTTTGGTAGCACTGAGCAACAATACCAGGATGTTTGGGATGCGTTCCGTCCCCTATAAATGTAAATTGTTGCTCCAGGACTGGACTACGTCAACACCTGAATTAAGGATAGGGAGTCAAGTAGTCGAACGTGTCGACAACTTCATTTATCTTGGAAGTCTGATCAGACCTAATGGGTTGATGTCTGACGAAATCTCTGCACGAATTCAGAAAGCTCGTTTGGCTTTTGCCAACTTACGTTAGCTATGGCGAAGACGAGATATCCTTTTATCAATTAAGGGACGAGTATACTGCGCAGCAGTTCGCTCTGTTCTACTTTACGGCTGTGAAATGTGGCCATTAAGAGTAGAAGATACTGTCAAGTTACTAGTATTTGACCACAGATGCCTTAGAAATATTGCTCGCATCTACTGGGATCACCGGGTCAGTATTAGTGTGGTTAGACGCAGGGTATTAGGAAATGATGGTAAATCAGTTGATGAGGTTGTGAATCTTCATCGACTGAGATGGTTGGGCCATGTGTTATGTATGCCTGAACATCGATTAACACGACGGGCTATGCTGACTAGTTTGGGGATGGTTGGAAGAGAGTTAGGGGCGGCCAAACCAAAACGTGGAATCAGTGCTGGAAGTCACTATCTTCTTGTCTGAGCCATGTTGGTAGATGCAGATTACTTGGTTGTGGCCCGCGTGACTATCGTAACCGATTGTTGGAAACTCTGTGTGACATGGCTCAGAATCGATCACAATGGTGTCGGTGTATATACTCTTTCTCTTCCCTTAATCCTTGAGATTAAAATTCTTTCATATCTTTCTTTTTACCAACTAATTCTTTTCTTCTATACTATATCCTTACATACAATCTTTCCTTCATATATTACTGCCATTGAAGTTACTACTTCTATGAATTTGGTGTTCATCTTGTTGTGCTAACGAGGTATGGCAACTTGGACAGACGCATATATCTGCCTTGTCCCATTTTGTAGCTGACTGACTGGAGTAATATATTGATTTGTTGTGTATTTTTGTACAATTTTGTCACTTAATTTTTCCTAACTCTAAAATGACTATAGACAACGATAAGACTAAGACTTTTGGATGCTAAATAACGATGCTTCCAACTCAAGTAACTGGATCAACCTAGGCAGAGGCATGTGTGCAGTAGCTTCTACCAGGTGAACAATCCACTTGCTCGCAATAGCTCATCTAGACTTGTCTCTCGCTATATGACCTTGAACAAGAAATGGCTGATTCATAGTTTTGTCACAATAGTTGTTCACATAGTGTTATAGCTTTATACCACTTTCTGTTTCTATCACTTTGCAAATAGACTTGTGATTTTGTGATTTTTTCTATCTGCAGCATAACTTAACTCAAGAACATGTACTTCGTTTTCTACGTAATGATCCTTCGATGACTAGTACAGTTGATAAACCCATAAAAAAATTAACGTGTTATATTGCTTCTTTGGGTCATTATCATGCTAAACGTGTTTCCCATCTGAGTTCGGAATTAATGATGCAATCACTCTCAACGCCAACGTTCAATTCAGCAAAGTTGAAAAAAAAAGATTTGCAACAAAAACATTTAATACAAAATGTTTTGCCCAAACTTTTACTACCTCTACTCCCTATAAATAAATATTTGGATTTTTTAGGTTACTCGGCAGATTTCGATTTACGTTTTAATTTCAAATACAATAATGATTTATTACCGCTACAATTATGTTGGAATGCTTTGTGGAATAAAATACCAAGGGAACCGAAAGCCTAATTCTCACTTCTAATTTATTTTCCACGTATCTCAGTACATGTAAATGTGAACAAGAATGTTTAACCTTATGGCATTAGATAGACTGAGTCGGGGATATTGTAAAAAGTTTTAGCTTGTTGTATTTTCCCTAGTATTTCCAGTTTACATTTTGTAAGAAAAAGGATTGTACATAAGCCCTGTGACTTATTTTGTCTACTTTCATAACACTACTTAATTTAGTAATAAGTAAACAATCTGGTTTTTCGAGAATGTGATGTTAGCATTGGCATCCGTAATGTTAAGTCCAAAAACATTTCTTTACGAGTACGCACAGTTCCATACACTTGATTTATTTTTGCAGGTGGATTTGGCAAAAGTTGTCACGATTGTACCCGAAATATTAAGGAAAACCAAAGGGCTTTTTAAATTTCATTAGTCTTGCTTGACCAAAATAAATCCGAAATACAGGTCAATTTAACTGTATATCACAGACACGTCGTCAATGAAGATCGCCTCTTTTAAAAGCAAGATGAAACATGCGACCTACATCTAATTATTAGTTAATTGGTCCTCAGCTCATTACCTCCTAGTTAGTCTATGATTTCACAATTCTGTTGAAAGGCGATTCCATACTAAAGAGCGCTAAAAAAATAGTCATTACCGTATGGGGTTCGTCAATGTTGTCGAACTTCATAGTTTACATCGAGGACTCGTCGTAGTTAAAGAGCCACCGCTGCTCTGAAATCTCAGTGTTTTGTTTAGCATTTTAAAAACACATGTGCTAGGTTCTATGTCGCTTATAACTAAGTGGTTCAAGGGTCTTGAATTCAATCCCGGCTACGGTCGTTGGTCCTTTCTTCTGAAGAACCCCATCCTAGGACGAAACTCTTGTTCATTGTGATCTGAGGTTTTGCTAGTTTCCTAAGACCAATTACCGATGCAAGCTATGAGAAAATTACTACTGTGATTTGCTGTGAACATCATCGTTCCAATTGAAAAAAATTAAGTATGTAGAAGTACTCTATGTTTTACGGTTAATTTGGAACTGAGGGAAAATAACTAAATGACGTGGAATACTAATTTCGGATATGCTGTAATGAAAACACTTGTGAAAAGTGGTACTTCACAAACAAACTGGTCATAGATTATGTAGTAAAGCTTATGGAAATTAAAACGAACTATGTTCAGTCAAGTTCATGAACAGTGTCTGTAGAAGGGTTTAGATATATGACATACTGATTTCTGAAATGCCAGACAAATTATGTCTAAATAGATTGATATGATAGTAATGTTCAAAATGTCTCAGTCCTAGGTTTCGTGTTAGTCGGAACACTCCAATCTTGATGAAACCCCACAAAGAGTATCAGTTACTTCAATATTACAGTAGGAATCGGATTTGACATGGGTGTAGATTAATCACCGTAATGATGAGTTTGATAAGTTTCAAGATAATTGTATTGGTATTTAACCTATGGAACTTTCGTACAGTTTTTCCCATCTGTAAACTTGAATAGAGAGAAATATCGTAGCGTGATAACATGGATTCGTTTCTTTTGTGGATTCTCCTAATCTGCCCATAAACGGTGTTATTCCTCAAAATAAAATAAGTGCGCATTATATTTTGGAGAAATCTTATGTGGAATTGATTAAGAAAATGATCTTAACCGATGAAATCACTAGGTAAATATCTGCATATACTGTTGAAGAACAAAAGCGGTCACTTTTGTACACAAGATAGTATAACGTATGGGATAATAAGTTTAAGCAATAATGATGAGTAGAGCTCACAGAACAAGCAACAGTCCATCAATTTAATCCACCAATAAAGGGGAAGGGTACTTTACATACTCATGCTGTTGACTAAACTTCAGTGTTATCATGACAAGTGCAACAAGATGACAAGGAAACTATATACAAATATTTGTCGATTTTAGATTTAAAAAATTTCCAGATGGTTAGGATCAGACTGTATTTTTATAATGTGATAGGTCTTACGATGATCAAAATAGCTACCTTAACTGTTAATAGTTTACTCCTCACATTGTATTCTTCCAAAGAAGAATACATTTGAAATAAGTACCACATCAGTTACTATCTGGTGGCTAACACGCATGAGATAATCACATCCAACACTCTATTCGTGGAAATGCAACTGAAATACTGCTTATAAATTTCAAATATATCAAAAGTTATCGATGTTCACAAGAAAAGAGCGTTCGAAGTATGTACAGCAGTGGTTAGGGAAATAATTTGACTCGTGTTTTGTTCTACTTTAAGCTCATCAGCTAGATGTACATCCATTGAAAAGCTCAGACCCAGTGCTCGTTCATTCAAACGCTAAATCGTTACCATCATGTAATTGAAGCCGATTATCGTCACTGGGAAGCAGTTGCTACACAAACCTTCCGACCCCCATTTCGCGGATTGAGATTATCAGTGTCGAGGAGGAATTCAGTAAGAAAGTTATTCTTGTTAGTTATCGTATTTTTATTCTCACGGTATTATTAGATTGGTCTTTAATGACAATTTATGGACTAATGAGTTATCAATCGACCAAATCTGAACAATGAAATAATGTTGAATAAAATGATATAAAAGTCAGTGTACTAAAATGCATCGTTAGTTCAGTTTTGATGTGGAATAGATTTTGGTCTATCCGTTTCCTCCTTTTTGTTGGGCTATACACTGTAGTGTGTGGTTTCGCCGAAATAGCGGATTTATAACTTGGCTGGTTAGCGTATACACATGTTAACCAGTGAAAATATCAGTCAAGAAATAAAAGTTTTTTGCTGATCTTTGGAAAACATGGTCACATATGAAAATACCTGCAGTCGAGAAGTCATATAACTCAATAAAGTAGGATCTAGAGGTTCATTCTTCGTAATAAGTAAAATAGCTCATTAATAATCTGAACTTTATGTAAAACCAACATAATGCTACAATAAAAAATGGTAGAAAACAGACTGAGATTCAAACCGTTTCTTATCGAAAGTTACAAATATAAAATCATGTCAAGTATGTAGTAATAAAATAATGTTTGGAATAACAGGTAATCTTATGTCAGATGGCAAGCATTCAAATATGATTTTGAAAACGTCGTTCATTTTGACCTTAGTCACCACCACTCATTACCTGACATCACATAGAAATCTAGACTATAGGACCCAGTGATTGGAAATTATCATGATTATTACTGTTTTAATGTCCTAGGTTCGATCCATATGATGTTACACAAAGCTTGGAATATTAGTAATCCATATAAGTCCTTAAGTGTATACTATGCCATGATGAAATCTTTACTTCCATAGAATATCATTCCCTAAATCTTTAATTATCGCAGAGTACCCTGAAAACCTGCAGTTACTGCCAGTCTCAAACCCGGTTAAATTAAGCGGATTGGGCATGAGCTTACCTACTTCATCCTGTGGAAAACAAGCATGTTTTAAAAGCATTAACCAGATTAAACCATTTAAACTCTGTCTGAGAGTTGAAGGATCTTTATTCAGAAGAATTATGAAAGCGGAGATTCTTCGGAAGTCATGAAGACAATGCCCCTTATAACAAACAAGCTGTTATGACTTTATGAAAGAAGGCCTTTGCCAATTCGTTATGATTTTATGTCCGAATTACACACCCATCAAAATACGACTATTCTAATCTTAACATGTACCAAATCAACGACGTTCAACTGGTTTGAGCAGTCTAGCTTCCTTGCTGGTCCCTTGTCCACCTAGCCCTTCCAATTGAGTCTAGAACACCAATTACAGCTTCAGCTATGCGAACTATTTATTTCAAGCATACTCTGTTTATATACCAGATAGACAGGCCGCATCACACCATAAAATAGAAAATAATATTTGTACAAGATCAAGCCAAATGTGGCTGTGAACGTGGGATACAATAATCAATAAACTGAATATATATTAGGTACAGTAATTCGTATAATAATAATTTATAGGTCAAAATAAAGCTTGTAATTAGATGAATATATATAAATTAAATCTAATCACTGAATAAATAAATTTGTAATATATGCTCACCATCCAGGGTGAGTACAGGATTAGAATCCTACCAGTCTTGTAGGAGTACCTTGCACTTGGAGGGTGCAATGTACATACCGTACCTGCAGACACTGATTGTCAACTGATTAAGTGTGGATTGCATAGTTTGGGCATTATCGCACAGCAAGACAATATCATCCGCATACTTCATACCGCCATCACTTACGTCCATCGGAGCTGTTCCCAGAGTGTCGTCGATGGAAAAGTTGAAGAGGAATGGTGAGATTGGGCAGTCGTGTCTAAAACCACTGCTTGAATGGAACAATGGATAAATGTGGTTGTATGCCCTCACTTTGCCTGAGGTCTTTGTATACAGGGCCTTTAAGATGTTAATAAACTTCTCAGGCACAACCTTCTTCAATAGACAATCCCAGAGAACAGTCCTGTCCAACGAATCGAAGGCAGCCCTAATGTCAAGGAACGCTACGATTGTTGGCCTGCGATAAGTATGACGGTGTTCTAACGTTTGGCGGATGGTGAAGATATGATCAATGAAACCTCGACCAGAACGAAAACCAGCCTGCTCCTCGCGAGTCAACCTTTCTTAAGTTTTAAACAACCTACGAAGAATGACAGAAGCCAATATTTTGGACGCAATCGGAAGCAGACTTACCCCCCGATAGTTGTCACAGGAACGACGTGAACCTTTTTTAAAGATAGGGACGACTATTGAATCATTCCCTGATGTTGGAACGCTCTAGCTCCCAGACCTTTGTAAACAACTCAGTTAATTCCTTAGCCAGATAGTCACCATCATCTTTAAAAGGAGCCAGAGGACAATTATCTGGGCCCGGTGATTTGTAGCGACACAGCGCCAATTTCAGTACCTGATGCTCATGCACGATCGGTTCACGGAGAATTTTAGAGTAGACTTGACAATCAAGCGACTACAA